GATATTTACCACCCCTTCCAGGGAGGGTAATGAACATCTTTAAGTATCAGAAATATAAATTCCCAGCTGGCTGGGAATTGAATATAACAGTTATTCACAACATAAATATGGCATCAAACCTGGATTGGCATTTAATATAAATCCACAACATTCTGAAAAGTAGAATGGTGGGCAGATCTTTTAGTTAGCAGGCTCCTCTCCTGTGGAACCAACTACCAGTTATAGCCTGTGAAGCAAACACTCTGTCTACTTTTAAGAACAGGCTTAAACATTTTTGTTTTGATAAAGCTTATAGTTAGAGTGAATCAAGTTATCCTGAGCTATCTCTATAGTTATATTGCTATAGGCTTAGACTGCTGGAGGACATGGGGACCACTTTTCCTCTCTCCCTTTCATTCTACTTTTATTCTCCTATTCCCAAAATGAGAAACAGCAGCATAAAATATGGAGACTGAAAACTATTTTACTCGATGCTCTGTGGGCATGCCACTAGGGCCTGATGGAAAATCTTAGTTAGCATTAGCGGTAACAACTTAAAAAGGAAAGATTGTAAATACATGACTTTCATGATTACTTTTGCTTCCTGGTAATAAATGTAGGTCAGTGCATCGCAGCTCTCATCACAATTATTGTTTATAAGCAAATTCATAAACGCAATATTTCTCAGAAATTAAGCAGAACTTTGAAGCAAACATTTGTTGATGTCAATAAATCCTGCTTATGACAGCCAAATGTACATTTACATTTATAACATGAAAAAAAGGAAACATTATTGTTTTCCTTTTCCTTAGTAAAGAAGATCAGTGATTTAGGGACAGAAACACAATGGGACTATTGTTTGGAAACCCCCATTTGGTTTGAATTTTTTTTAAGCTGGCCTAGACAGATGTTAATTAAAACAGTGCTCTCTGTCTTTTTGCTTCAGAGTCAAGGTGCAGTGGATGTTATTCAAGTTATTTTGTTTGCTTGCTTTGCCATAAATTATCTCTGCAGTGCAGGCAAAATAAACTGCAGATGACCTGAAACGCATGATGAGCAAAGAGCCAACATGCTCAGACGGAAAGAGAAGAAGACCTAGAAGGTGGGATGGAGAGAAAGACTATGTGAAATTAGACAATGGAACATAGATTGAAGCATTTCGGGTTTAAGACAAAGGCAAATTTGATATGGCTACAACTTGAATTATGTATTTTCAGTCATTTTAAATAATGATAGCTGCGGAATTTACATAGTTTTAAACAAAGCTACATATATACTTTCCTAACTGATGCAACGGTCTGCATGTGTTCAGCTTAGAACATTTTTCTACATTTTCAGGCTTATTAGTGGGAGGTAGATCTTTATCCCTTAAAATCATAATATCCAAACCATTATGCGCTAATTTTAACATACTGATCTGAACAGTTCATATAAAGAAATGTTCTTAAGGAAGTTAAGAAGAAAATAACCAATCGTAATTATATAAAAAAGAAAAAACTTCAAGTAAATAAGTTTAGATATGTATGAAAGGCTTCTGGGCAGGAGTCTAAAGACATGCAAGTAGAACATGTTGAGTCCGTGTTAACGGTAATTCCCCTGTGGGATGTTAAACAAAAAAATGCATTTTTTTCCTTTCAAAGCTTTCCTGGCACAACTCAGCTCATGTGTTAATCTTAAGAGGATCTTTGGACAGAAAATGAATCCTCTCTGAGAACTAAATAGGCAGAAGTGACAGTGATTAAGACACAAAGGCTGTCCTTGTACGTAAATCCATCTACCGAGCAACCATCCAGCTATCATTAAGTTAAATTACTGTGATTGAAATATGAAGACAGAAAACAAAGGATACAAGGAAATAAATCACAGAGAATATTTCTGAACTTTCTTAGAGGAAGAAATTAAAAGTATGGAAATACAAATATAGTATTTTACTAATACTAGATAAAACTCCTTCTATTGGAGTGTTTGTCTTTTTGCAATTGAATAATAATTATATATAATTATTA